AGCTTTCTTATGACACCTGGAAGCGTAGATTTGATCCAAAGTGGGAAGAGGGCACCCAGTTATTCTCTCCACAGTCTTTACAACCCTGGACAGCATTGTTTTTCCCCTGACCGTGCAGCTTCCAAACCACACACAGAGACCACAGAAACACAGGCTACTGCCTTAGAGCTCATCCACACTTGTCCCATGATTTTTAGGCACGGGTCCATAGTTTTTCTCTTGTACTGTCTCTTTCCCCAGGAAAACCTGTGGTTTACTGCTGAATCAGAAAAAAATATGCTAATTGGGTTTACTGAGGATGGAAATTTGCTCTGATTCAGTGGTAGACAGCGAATTTTCCTAGGGGAAGTGGCGGGATGGAAGAAAAACCTCTCAGAGCCCTAGAAAACATGAGACAAACGGAAAAGATCATGGGACAAACAGAAGATGAGTGCTTAGGCTGAGTGAGACAGCTGGTCCATTTGTTTCAGGTGTATCTTCATGGCTTCAAATGGGGGCCTTGCCAGCCCTACCTGGGCATGCTAGAGACCAGGGGCTTGGGAAGGGGAGCGGTGGGGGTGATCCACCCCAGGTGCCCTCACGGAGGGAGATGACGTTACAGATAGGTAGCCGTGTTGGTCTGCCATAGTCAAAACAAAAAAATTCCTTCCAGTAGCACCTTAAAGACCAACTAAGTTAGTTCTTGGTATGAGCTTTCGTGTGCATGCACACTTCTTCAGATACCTGAAGAAGGAGGGAGATGACATTCAACATGCCACCCGTCCGTGACTCCCATGCCTACCCTGAGCCGTCGGGATAAAGGGGGAGCTCAGCCACTTTGCCAGCAGCATTCTGCCCCTTCCCCCTTCGTTTTGACAGCTTGGGGAGGCTTGGGAGTCGCGGGCGGTGTGCCGAATGTCCTCCATGGACGGCTCTCTCCGCCCCTGGCTGCAGGGTGCGTGCACCACTCCGGGCACCCGAGCAGCTGTCCCATGCCTGGGAGGGCACCCTCCATGCCATGCCCCCCTCGGGAGCACGCCCACCCTGGGCAGAGTGGGCATATGGTCCACCGCTGCTAGAGACTCAACCTAGACCTTGCAAAGTGTGAACCTCACCACAGAGCTATACCTTTGAAACTTTGACCTTTAAGGTTTGCAGCTGTATTATTTTAAAAGGCCACTTTAGAAGCTACAGCACACATCATTCTGAAAGAGGAAACATTTGCAGAAGAGTTCCTCCAACCTCTGTTTCCACAAAAAATTCCAGGGGGGGGGGAAACACGCACATACACAAAACTGAAATGAAAACACGTACACACACACACACACACACACACACACACACACCTTCTCCTTTTCCAATTGCCCTTCAAGGTCAGTTCTGTAATTCTGTACCTTGACTGCCAAGTTCCTGCCAGGAGGTCATCCTACACTCGAGTAGGACCTTGGCAGAGACACATGCCCAACTGGCATGTTCCCTCCCTCCTTGTTGATCGTTCGGGAGCTTCAAAAGCTTTCTTCAGCCTGAACATCACAGCGACCGATGCCAACAGACACCGGCACACTTAGGGGATCCGCAAGTCTTCGCAGCTTGCGTAACAGACCTCAGCAACTCAGCATTTTGGCTAATCTACTTTATTTACATCTAAACACACACGGAGCACTGCAAGATGGCTCCCTCTCTCTCTAGCATCAGACAGCAAAGAGAAGAACAAAGGACAATAGTCCCACTTCATGGAACACAGGAACACAAACATCCTGTCTTCATCACTTCCCACTCTGTGGAGTCAAAACATACACCGTCATGTGATAAACAAAAATCCCATGACTACAATCATAGATCAGAAATTCTAACAGTTCCATCCTTCAGCCTTGCTCAGATATTGGGTTGTCTTTTAAAGTTGGCAAGCCCATGTCATCATAGAGCCCCACCCTATGATACATACGTAAGTGTCCTCTCTCCCAGTGCCACCCCCCCCCCCGAGGTACTGAAGGGCTTGCAATACCAGCACCATTTTCCCTAGAAGTAAAGAACTGCACTATCCTATGAAGCTCAGGCATTCTGATGCCACAATGTCCCCCTTTGTGGGATAGTCAATCCGCCTTTGCACAAGCTGGCCACACGATGGCACCACTGACTGCCAAAAACAGGAGCTGAGACCTCAGAATCAAACTTCCTTGCATACTGAGAAGTTTCTTTTCTTTTTAAATCGCCTTTATTATATATCAATTTACATCAATTTACATACAGCTTAGACAATACATACAATACACACCACTACATAGACACACCATAGACATTAACTTCTGATTTTTCTCATTGTGCTATTTTACATTTTGTTTATACACATTTCATTATTATTATTTTACTTTCCCATTTTTTATCAGGAAAACTTTGCTATGTGCTTTCTCTATATTTAAAGATTCATTCTAAGTCTGTCAGGAGGTAAACATCGTCACAGTAATTTTAAAGATATTCTTTAAATATTATCCAATATTATAACTTTCTGTATTGAATTTCCTCTTTTTCTCCCTGTCATCTTTGCAACTTGTAAATATTCTCTCCTTTTCGCTTGCCCGTCGGTTTCTGTGGGGATGTTATCACCTTGCCAATTCTTTGCTATTAAAATCCTAGCCGCTGCGGTTGCGTACATAAAAAGAGGTCTGAGATTTCTCTTAATTTCCTTGCATACTGAGAAGTTTCCAGGGTAATCCAGACCTGTCAAGGCCTCCCAAGTGTTTACTGGTTTGAAGATCAGACATGTAGCACACACAAAGGACAGGTGTTTCTTCGTGTGTGTGTTCTGCAAAGGTGCATTTGCCATCACCAACAAGCCTCCCATAAAGCCACAGAGAGCCATCCCAGCTCATCCAGTATCATAAATATTTATTACATTTTTATGCCACCTACTAGCTCAGTCCTCTGGGTGGTTTACAGCATTATTAAAATATAAACTTATAAACTTCTGTGAAAAGTGACGGGGGAACAAGCAAAAAACAATAAGCAATACGTACCAGTAAATGCAACCCTCAACTATCTGAAAGCCACCCCAAGAACAGCAGCATAAAACCTGTATCAAGCCAGCATAAAACAAGTAATGAACACAAGAAGAGACTTGGGACTTGTCCACACTGGACCTGGACCAAGTGGGTTTCCCCAAGCTCTGCTCCTTTCCCATGTGAGACCTGCTCTTTAGTGCTAAATCAGAGCAACCATCAATCTGGAGAAAATCTGAATTGCTGTTTGCTCCTATTGAGCACTAAAGAGTGGTTTTCCCTGGGAGAAATGAGCAGGCCAAGAGGAAGGGTCGATGAGCCCGTTGCCAATAAAACTAAGCCTAACTGTGTTTTGGAGACGTCTGCAAATGCAGCTACACTAAGGGCATGGGTCCAAGAAGTTTTTCATTTGTCCTGCCCCTATCCCAGGAAAAGCCCTTTGTTTACTGATAAACTGGTATAGACATCAGTCCGCAGAAAACCTGACTGGTGTTTGTTCCAATTCAGAAGTAAAGAGAGGGTTTTCTCAGGGAAAGCAGCAGGGCAAACAGAAACCCCTTTGGGCGTGTGACTAGAACTCACAGGACAAACGAAAATGTGGCTGAGCCCTAAATATGGAGGCTAGGGGCTCACCAGGTCATAGCTGTCAACTTTTCCCTTTTCTTGCAAGGAATCCTATTCGGAATAAGGGAATTTCCCTTTTTAAAAAGGGAAATGTTGACAGCTATGCATCAGGTGTGCCTTTTGCCCCAAGGAAACCCGATCTTTACCACTGAATCAGAGCAAATGTCAATCAAGTTTTCTCTGGATTGATGTTTGCTCCAATTTATTTCTTGTGAAGGAAAAAAATTCCTGGGTGAGAGACTACTCAACAGCCCAGCTGGTCGGGGTGCAAGTCCCCTGTGGGTCCATGCGGTCAGTAAAAGAAGGAAGCTCCAGCCAAGTACCGTAATTTGGAGCAAAACAGCAGTCAGTAGACCATGATCTTTATTGTTGCACAACAGGTCCCCACAGGAGTAAGAACCTCGAGCATGGGGTGACATCCTCTTCTAAAACTTCCCTCTTTCCCCCAGAATACACTTTGAGCAGCATCATTGAGACATCATCACTACATCACTAGCATGTCACAAATGGGGAGGGGTCTACAAGGGTGATACAAGTTCAACATTAGTTCCCTTTATCAGACCCCTTTCCCAATACCTCTTAAGTCCCCATCACCAGAAGAACAATAAAACTCTCTGTATAGCCTTGCCCTCAGGATTTGCCTGGAGATGGGCTTTCAGAACACCTCACTTGCTCCACTGCCTCTGGGGGTGTCTATTGTTGCCCCCGCTGGTTGCTCCCTGGGTGGGGGCCATGTACATGCTCCCACACTTGGGGAATTATGGTGGGATGCCCTGTTCCTGCTGCCTACATGACATCCTGCTTCTTGGTTCATGCAGGGAGGTGGAGCCCAAATTCCCCTTTCTTTAAGGGTTAAAATGGCGTTGGAATGAGGAGAGTCGGTTGAAGTATGGATTTTCTACCAACTTATAAAGCTAGGTATCTTCCCTGAGCTGTCAAGTCGAAAGGATACATTCAGGCACAATATTTGTAGCATTGTAACAACTGTAAAGATCCCCCCCCCCATCATTTCCATAACACGCTGGAGATGTGTGGGGCGGAGAGGATCTTTGGCCCTGGAGATGTTGCTGAACATGAGCTCTGGCCATGCTCTCTGGGGCTGATGCAAAGGGAAGTATAGCTGGTGCAAGTATGGCTTAATTGGAGGCCAAAATTTGCTGCCAGGATTTCTGGAGCCCCAGCAGCTTAACTTCTTGAATGAAGCTCCCCACACCCATATTTCTTGATGCCAGGCTGCAGCAAAGTTCCCTGGCAAGTTTGACCCTGTCAGCTGCAGAGCCTTTCGTCCTCTGGTGCTTTCTTGAAGAAGTCGGTTAGGTGTTTGCTGCGCTTCCCTGAAGTCCTGCCTCCCTGAACCGCTTTCATCGTTCTTTCCTTCCCGTCAGACTGCGGGAAACGACCCCTGGCCCCCATCCACGGCGGCAGCATGAGAATTGTGGGTGGTGTCGACGCCCTGGCTGGAGAGTGGCCCTGGCTTGTCAGCGTCCAGATCCCCTCCTCCAAGGGAACGCGGCACTCGTGCGGGGGATCCGTCCTTTCCAAGCGCTGGGTCCTCACAGCAGCTCACTGCTTCAAGACTAAGAGAAGGCAAGTATGAAAGATGGCAGGAAAATGGACATCTGGCCTGCTGAGGACAAGCAGAATGTCCACGAGGTGGAAAAACAAGGCAAGGTTTCTGCCACAGGCTGAAGATGTGCGGTGCTTCTGAGCATGTGCACATTGCCTTTGTCTATACACAAGAACCTCTCCAACATGTCAGAATATGTGGGGATGTTCAGGGTGGCAGGAGAGGATATATTGTTTATTAATATCCTTCCTAACTTACACTTGCAAGTTCCTTTACTTAGCAGAGTCCATTCCCCTTTACACAGCAGAAAATTAGTTGCAAACTCGTGTGAGTTTCTTAAGACAATACACAATTCAATCTGGCTTGTCCAGATTGAAATGTGTTGTAATATTTTCCTGGTAAGACCCCTTGAATCCCTCCTAATTGAATAAAGGCACCACAGTCTTATTCATAAGCAGTGAAAAGAAAGTTTATTCACGACCAGGCAGAGCACAGTGTGATCCCTGAAGGCAGCCTTTAGGCTTCAAGTTACAAACATGTACAAACATGTTAGTGGTGTGAAGTAGGGGGAGGAGAGAGAGGTGGGAACATATTGTTTAAAAAGGTGTAGTCATAGGTATATCTGTGTATTCAAATCTGAATTGTCAAATTGTGTTGTTATTGTTATTATGGCTTTTCTTGTATGTGTCATTTGCGGTTGTTGTTTGTATATAAAAAAATGATTAAATAGATTAAAAACAAACAAACAAACAAACAAACATGTACAAACAGGATTACCCCATAAGGCAGCCAGCAGTTCAGTCCAGGAAGTTTGCAGGATGAAAGAAAGATGGAAAAGAGAGAGAGAGTGGCAGCATGCCTTGTCCTTTTACCTGGACAGGTTAGGTCATGCCCACCCACTAGTCACATGCAAAAGGAAGGATGCTCCAGGCCAGGAGGAACAGGAAGTTTCAACTGGCTGGACCAAACATCCCCTTGTATGTCCACTCTAGCAAAACAAGGAATGTTGTACTTGACTGCTCCTAGTGGATTACATCCCACAGAATAGTGGGCAGAGATTCTAGGCAGACTCAGCTGCTTGCTAGAAACTGGACACTAGTGGGGGGCTGTCTGCTTCCTCCTGTCCTTTCGCCATGTCTCAGAAACTTTATGTTGCCTCATCTGCACATCAGGTGTTTCTCTGCAGTGGGCCACCCCTTCCCTGCTGCAGAAGCTGTTTGTGCAGGGGCTGGTTCTGATACCTGGCTGATTCTCAGGGGTGGGGCATTCAGAGGGACAAGAGGAGCAGCTATTCTGATACATGTACTTTGTGATTTAAATGACCGTCCAGAATGCTGGCAAGCCATTTTGGACTAACTTTAAAAGTATACAGGCACATTAACATGGATCTATAGGTAACTTCAGCCCAGTGCAGTGTCCCAGCAAAATGTGTGCATCAGTCAGTTCTAGTATTTGCTCGGTGCCAGCAACCAACAAAGCCACAATACTGGTATGTTAATATCTGCATGAAGCTGGAATTGGTGTAAATAGTCCAGCTGGCCTCATAGCTTAATAATAATAATAATAATAATAATAATAATAATAATAATAATAATAATAATTTCTGATTTATACCCCACCCATCTGTTTCCCCAGCCACTCTGGGCGGCTCCCAATCGAGTATTAAAAACAATACAGCATTAAATATTAAAAACTTTCCTAAACAGGGCTTCCTTCAGATGTCTTTTAAAGATAGGATAGCTGCTTATTTCCTTCACATCTGAAGGGAGGGCGTTCCACAGGGCAGGCACCACCACCGAGAAGGCCCTCTGCCTGGTTCCCTGTAACCTCACTTCTCGCAGCGAGGGAATCGTCAGAAGGCCCTCGGCGCTGGACCTCAGTGTCCAGGCTGGATGGTGGGAGTGAAGACGTTCCTTCAGGTATACATGTTTATCAGTATTAGGGTGTCCAGGAATTATTATTTCCCCTGTTTTTGCAGCAGTAGCCAGGGAGAACTCTGTTTAAAAGAACTCCAGAGGGCCTTGCGCTAACCATGTTCTGTTTTACCTGCAGCTCACTGAATCACTGGAGGATTGTGGTGGGTGCCACGGACCTTTCCAAGTTGCCGGACGATGTGCAAATCCGCTCGGTGCACAAAGTCCTCCTCCACCAGGATTACAACCCGCGCACGGAGGCCAACGACATTGCACTGATAAAACTCGAGAAACCTGTGACATTTAGCGACTACGTTCAGCCAGCCTGCCTGCCTCCTGTCACCATGGGCTCTGATACCAGCTTCTCAGACTGCCACATCAGTGGCTGGGGCACCACCTCCCAGAACAGTGAGAGACTGGGAGCAGAGGGAGGCAGGGACTGGGGGCAGCTCAAGTAGGGGTGGAAACGCAGCTGTGAAGATAACACACAGGGCAGGGGGAGATAGAGGTGCTGCTGTGGATGGCTGGTATCCCAGTCCCCACAAACTTCAGATCTGGGAGAACAGGAATTAATGAAGGCTTATTTCAGGTCAGATGGAAATCTGGCTGCTTCCCCTCCACACAAAGGTAGTTGTTTTCTGGTGCTTCCTTCTCTGGAAGTGGAAAATAGACCCAACCCACATGTGGGTAATTAATACTAAAACAAATTGGCCAGGCGCCTAGATTCAAAACACTCTCCCGCAGGAGAGAGCCTCCAGCAGAGCTTACAACACCCTCAGAGTTAACCCCCAGAATAGCGTAGAAATTGGAATATTTTGCCTACAGGCAACAGGCAACAGGCAACACCCTGTTAAGTAAGTTTAAAAGCTTTACTTACTAAATTGAAAGGTCTGGTTCATGCATTATTCCATGCAGCAGCAAGGAGGAAGAATTGTCCTGGGTGTAAAATACAGATTATAGTTTCAAGCATGCGGTCTCTACTTTGGAACAAGTTCAGAACATGTCCGTTCTGGTCAGTTACATAACTAGAGGAGAGTGAGCAAAAGAAAGAGAAGCAGATTCGCTTCCCCCCTCACGGAGGTAAGGGGGAGTGGCCTAGCTGGTCTTAACCCCTTCATGCACTAACTAGCACTCATGCATGTTTAACTGCGACTCCCACACCTTCCTCCTTCCATTTTGCTTACAGGAGCTTTAAAAATATCCTAAGGTGCTGAAATGATTTGAGTAGCACACAAAATGAGTGTGTGTGTCTGTAACTTGTTTTGGTTTCTCCCTCTTCCTCTGCCAAGCTACATTTTACATTGAATGCATATTTTAATTTGTGTGTGTGTGATCCTGAACCTGCGACTTTAACAACAACGACTACTGCACACACAGACGCAAATACCTATTTAATGTAATGTGTAGTTTTGCCAAGCTATATTCCAGCAGGGAAATTGCGTGTGTGTTTGTGTGTGGTTAGGGAAGGGAAGAGCTGTGAATTGCAGTGCTTGGAGAAAGCAGAAACCAACCTAATCTGCTGGCTTTGCTGACAGGTGTGAAGACATCGGACATCCTTCAGGAGGCGAAAATCAACATTCTGGACACCAAGAAATGCAACAGCAGCCAGTGGTACAATGGGGCCATGAGTCCTCACACCATATGTGCAGGATATGAGGAAGGGGGCATTGACAGCTGCCAGGTAAGGAATCCCACTGCCATTTATTCACACTGGCACCGGCTCTCCAGCATTGCTGGCAGAGATAGGTCTTTCTTAGCACAGCTGCTTGAGATCCCTCTAACTGTCAGGAGGCAGAGGAAGCAACCCACAAGGCAGGTTGCCAGGGATGGACAAGACAAGGAAAACTCCTTATCATCTGCTTTTATTCAATATCCACAGAGAGACTTGGGAATGTGGCATCTCAGAATAATGGCATTGCTCCTCATGAGTCACCACCCCCTCCATCTCTCCCACTTCCTCATGAGTCATCGCTACTGGTGCTGAAAAGTGTCCTCTGCCTTTGAGCTCTTTGCTCTCCTACTTTCAAGGCCCGCCGTGTCTTGGGAGAGGGAGGGTCTGGAATGCTTTCTAAAGACACTGAGTCCATCAGCTGTCACTCCCCTGTGCTTCTTCTCTCCTCCTCCTCCTCTCTCATTATTTCCCAGCTTTCCCCCTCATCTGCCTCTGAGTTGTGACCTCCCTCAAACCCCTGTTGTAATTCTGAACTGTCTCCTTCTTCTCTGGAAGGGTCACGCTGGGGAGGTGGTCCCCTCCTCTGCCCAGTCCCTGACACTAACTGAAGCTGCCCAGGATTGAACTTTTGATGAGCAAAGCATATGCTCCGTCTCTGAGCTAAGGAACGTAGCTAAGGAACACCTTTTGCTTTGGGCAACTGGGGCAGTGCCTGTTGAGATGCGTCTGGGGAGATGGGGGCATTTGGCAGGCCCCCAGCTGGCTCCAGCCCTTTGGCCGGCAGCCGGGCAAACTCCGGTTCTTAGAACAGCATCAAAAACCATGACTCAAGCCTCAGAGACCTTTAGAGACTGAGCACGCAAGCCAGCAGAGAGAAGAACTCTTTGCAACGGAAGTAGCGGACAGAGGCATATGTAAGCATATTTACAGCATATTATTCAGCAGCAGGACAAAGGAAAAACATGTCTGCTTCCCTTCGTGCCCAAGCAAAAAGCATAGGCAAAAGCTATATACAACGGAAGTTCCTAGCAGACTATGCTGGAAGTAAACAGACATGTGACATACAACAACTCCACATGCCTGTTCTAAAGGTGGAATGGAACTATATCCTAACAGTGCCCTCTCCCACACACAGTGGACACCCTTTGAACCTAAAACTTGAGACCACTCTTCCTCACCTCTTCCCCTCCACCAAGGGTGGGGAACCTCTGGCCCTCTAGACATTGCTGAGCTACAATGCCCATCAGCCCCAGCAAGAATGGCCAATGGCCAAGGTTGATGCAAGTTGCAATTCGTCAGCAGCTGGAGGGCCACAGGTTCGCCACTCCTGCCTCACATTCTAATACCTTACTCTCTGCTTTCTGTCTGCCTTGCTGCATGGAGTCTGCATGGCCTGCTTTCCCTCATCTCACTTCTGTACTTGGGCTCGTCCATACTTCTGCTTGTCTCATGCCCAGAAAGCATGTGTCGGAGTGGTTTGTCGCTCAATCCATGTTGGCGTCATGTGAACAATGGGTGAAACTCCACAGTGCTTGGACTCATGTCTTGAGTTAGCACATCTTCCCATGTCTGGATGTTCAGAGATAAGGATGCCAGGTGTACTAGGTTACCAAAGCAACAACCACGAGGTTGAGTGTATGACTTGCCAATTCTTCCATCCTCCCATTGGTCCAGGAATGTAGACCAATGAGCATAATAGGGCATTGCTTTCATTATGTTCCTGTCCTGTTGCACGTTCGTGTCTTGTCCTGTTTGCCATCAGGGTCTGGTTCTGAATCTGCGAGAGTCGGAGGAAAGGCTGTGGGCTTTACACAGCAGCATACGCTACCATGGGGATAGTGTTAGCCGATCTCTCTGTACATATGTATGCTTACTTCAGAGACCAGATGAATTGAATCTAGTAGTATTTAGCTTTGTCTTGCATCTGGAGATGATAAACAGTTGATATGAACTGTGTGGAAGAGGAGTTTCCCCCTTAGCTGGGGACTCTGGAAAAAAACTATTCTGCTGGGAGCGGGAGATCTCTGAAGACTGCTGGGGCTTCGCATGCACAGTTGAGGTCGAGGTGTGGTGAGCTGCCAACTGATTTCCACAAGTCACCAGCAACCTGTGCTTTCTAGACACAGATCTGAGCGGTTTTCCTTTGGCCCCAGGGAAAACCTGCTCTTTAGTGACAAATTGGAACCAATGGCAATGGGGAAAGCCTGAAGTGCTGTTTGCTCCAACTGAGCACTAAAGAGCATTTTTTCTGGGGCTGAAGGAGGACAAGAGAAAGCAGGACAAGAGAAAGCATGAATAAGCCCAGGGTTAATCTTTCCCCCTGTCTCTCTCTCTTTCCAAGACCGTGTCAGGATGTTGTCGTGGGTCTCAGCTGTTGCCCAGGAAACTATAAAGTCAAGGGAAGGTTTCTTACTGTCCTTTTTTATTCAATATTTACAGAGAGAGGCTGTAGAACCCAGCCTCTTGGATAATCTACACCCCCCCTCCAATCTCTCCCACTTCCTCATTCGTCACTTCTATGGGTACTGTTATGTGCCCTCTGCCTTTGAGCTCTTTTCTCTCCTACTTTCAAGGCTCGGTGGGTTCTGGGAGATGGAGGGTCTGGGAATCTTTCTGATGACACCGTGTCAGCTAGCTCCTGCTCCGCTTCTGCCTCCTCCTCCTCCTCTCCCATTATTTTCCAACTTTCTCCCTCATCTGCTTCTGAGCTGTGATCTCCCTCAAACCCATGTTGTAAATCTAAACTGTCTTTCTCTTCCCCCTTCCTGGAAGGGTTAGACTGGGGATGTGGTCTCCACCATTCTTCCTCTGCCCAGTCCCCAACAGAGAGCCAGTGTGATGTAGTGGTTAAGAGCAGTAGTCTCGTAATCTGGGGAACCGGGTTCGCGTCTCCGCTCCTCCACATGCAGCTGCTGGGTGACCTTGGGCCAGTCACACTTCTTTGAAGTCTCTCAGCCCCACTCACCTCACAGAGTGTTTGCTGCGGGGGAGGAAGGGAAAGGAGAATGTTAGCCGCTTTGAGACTCCTTAAAGGGAGTGAAAGGCGGGATATCAAATCCAAACTCTTCTTCTTCTTCTCCTCACCCAAGTTAATCAAACTGAGGGATTAGTTGAGAAAACACTGTAGCCCTGTAGTCATAGGTACTCCAAAAGTGAATTTGTGCCTCGTACCATTGAATTTCAGATGGAGAACAGATTTTCTGAAACTACAATTCAGACTTTTTCTCCCAAACCATAAATCTCATGGCAGCATATGCAAAAATATGGAGATCAATACAGTTTTAAAACAGACAATTAAAAAAAAAGCTCAGAACTAATCAATTCTGATAATCAATTTTACGAACAAATGCATTTAGAGAGAGCGTCTGCTCTATTATGACAAATCTCAGCTCTTTCCCTGAAGGTATGTTCCAAGTAACTTCACATTCAGCATGGAAACAGACACGGCAATTTCATTATGTAGTGATAGTGCCATGTATTTAAAGCCCATTTAAAGTACGTGGCTTGCCCCAAAGAATCCTGGAAACTGCAGTTTGCTGGAAATTGTAATTCTGTGAAAGATAAGTTATGGTTCCCGGGATTCTTGAGGGAAGCCATGTGCTTTAAATGAATGGTGTGAATGTGTTCCTGGTAACATAGTCAGAAGCACAAGATTGATGGGCGTTTCTTGGCAAGCAATGATGAGATGAATGGCAGGGGGTGAGTCTATGGTGTCATGTAGCAGCTAAGAAGGTTTATGTGGTCTTTGGTCCTGGCGGCTGGGTGGGCTTAGACTTGTACCTACACCATAAGTGTGAGGGGACCCTGCTTTCCTGAAAGAGCACTTAAGTTCCTTCCTTCCTTCCTTCTCTCTGCAGGGTGACAGTGGGGGCCCCCTGATGTGCAAGACAAGCCAGGATTCCCCGTATTACGTGATTGGCATCACCAGCTGGGGAAAGGGCTGTGCCCAGGCAAACAACCCAGGAATCTATACCTTTACCAAAGACTTCCTTGAATGGATCTTGGGGGAGATGGTGGAAGCCAAAGGGCAGAAGCCCAAGAAGAAGAAGAAGAAGAAGAGAAAGTCACCTGGTGGAATAACGCTCCTGCCTAACAGAAAGGACATCTTGATGACACAAGAGTCAGCAACCAAGCCAAAGGTGGCCACTGGTCCTCTGTCCACCACCGCTCCTTCAACAGCACCTGAAACCCCCACAGAGGTGCTCACAGTCCCTCTGCCCACAGATGCTCCAGAAACATCCTCACAGGTGCTCACAGTTCCTCTGCCCACAAATTCCTCTGAAACTTCCTCACAGGTGCTCACGGTCCCTCTGCCCACAGATGCCTCCAAAAAGTCCCCACAGCCGCTCACAGTCCCTCCACCCACAAATGCCTCTGAAACTTCCTCACAGGTGCTCACAGTCCCTCTGCCCACAGATGCCTCCAAGAAGACCGCACAGGTGCTCACAGTCCCTCTGCCCACAGATGCCTCCAAGAAGACCGCACAGGTGCTCACTGTCCCTCTGCCCACAGATGCATCCAAAAAGACCCCACAGGTGCTCACGGTCCCTCTGCCCACAGATGCCTCCAAAAAGACCCCACAGGTGTTCACGGTCCCTCTGCCCACAGCTGCTTCTCCAAAAGCCCATGGTGCTCGCTCAACACATCCCACCAAACGCCGTCCTCGAAGGCCCAAGGCAACTTTGAGGTCCCCGCACAAAGATCCAGAGCCAACCATCCTTGTGGAGCCCCCTTTCATACCCCCAATAATTACACCTCCCCCGATTGAAGCCCCATATGTCCCTTCAGAACGAACTGTCACCCTGGAAGCACCCTATTTCCCCCAAGAAACAGCACCCAAACCTCTAGCTCCTCCACGTATTCCTAAAGAAATACAGCCCACGGCTCTAGAGGCCCCCTACATCCCCCCTGACGTGACTGCATCTCTGGAGCCCCCCTATATTCCTCTGGGGGAGCCTTACACTGCCCCAGAGCCTCCATTTCTCCCCCACCACCCAAATACATCTCTCCAAAACAAGGCAGTGTCTCATCCAATTCCTCAGAATCCCCGTATGTCCCACAAGAAAGACCATTCGCTCTGGATCCTCCATATATTCCTCCAGAGACATCAGTCACTCTGGAGCCTCCATACATCCCCCAAGAAACACCCCCAGGGGCAACTGCCATTCTGGATCGCCCATACACTCCGCCAGAGAACCCAGTCACTATAGAACCCCCATTCATCCCCCCAGAGAACCCTGTCATTTTACAGGCTCCATACATGCCTCAAGACAAACCGGTCACTCTGGAGCCTCCATATACCCTGTCAGAGACACCGGTCACCCTAGAACCCCCATACACTCCTCCAGAGACGCTGGTCACCCTACAACCCCCATACACTCCTTCAGAGACATCAATCACTCTAGAACCCCCATACACTCCTCCAGAGACATCAGTCACTCTAGAACCTCCATACACTCCTCCAGAGACGTCAGTCACTCTAGAACCTCCATACACTCCTCCAGAGACATCAGTCACCTTACAACCCCCATACACTCCCCCAGAGACATCAGTCACTCTAGAACCCCCATACACTCCTCCAGAGACACCTGCCACTCTAGAACCCCCATACACACCTCCAGAGACACCTGCCACTCTGGAGCCTCCATACACCCCACCAGAGGCACTTGTCACTCTAGAACCGCCATACACCCCTCCAGAGACACCTGCCACTCTGGAGCCTCCATACACCCCACCAGAGGCACTTGTAACTCTAGAACCCCCATACACCCCTCCAGAGACACCTGCCACTCTGGAGCCTCCATACACCCCACCAGAGGCACTTGTCACTCTAGAACCCCCATACACCCCACCAGAGACACCTGTTGCCCTAGAACCGCCATACACCCCTCCAGAGCCGCCTCTCACTCTGGAGCCTCCATATACCCCGCCAGAGACACCTGTGGCCCTAGAACCCCCATATGCCCCTCCAGAGCCGCCTCTCACTCTGGAGCCTCCATACACTCCTCCAGAGCCACCTGTCACCCTAGAACCCCCATATATCCCCCCAGAGACACCTCTCACTCTGGAGCCTCCATACAATCTCCCAGAGACACCTGTCACCCTGGAAGCCCCCTACACTCCCCCTGAGATCCCGTACACTGATCCATACCCTCCATACATCCCTCCAGAGGCCCAAAATATCCCAGAAGGTTCAGCTGAGAACCCAGAGGCACCATATAGCATTCAAGTGGCTGCTGACCCTCCCAAGTCTTACAAGCGTTCTCCAGCATTCTATGCTATTCGCATTCCCCGAGCTGCTCCTCCAGGCCGACGCTGGCAACCTTCCAAATAAGAGAGTCCACACATGGGGTGCAACCTGCCTACGGCTCTTTGTCCGCCTGACCCTCAGGCTGTCCTCAACTAGCCAGCTCTTCAAAAGGCCACGCAGCAGTAAGTGCCATCCGTCTCCCAAATACCGTAATTTGCACTTTGATACCATGACCTCCATCCTCACATGCCAGGGCCCAAAGCTTCCTCGGATTTCCAAGATTACCAAAGAGAAGGGATGCGATTAAAGCAGTTGATCGCCAGTCCGTAGCAGATAGCGGGACTTATATTCAGGACTGTCGGGAAGGAGCTCTCAGTGGGAACATATGGACTTACGGCGGAGCAACAGGATGGCACACAGGGTGCAAAACCTGCCCTGCTTTATGTCGCTGGTGGCCTTGGGACTACGAGGTGGTTAATTCAAAGTAAAAGAGGAGGAGATGAGTGAGGGAACATCCACATCACTGAGAATCCACGCACAGACATGCCACGTGGGCTCACCCTCTGCTGCAGCCGCAGGAATGCCTTAATTCCAGAGGGGAAGCAGTCGGAGCAAAATGCTACCATGCTTGCTTGGAAACACGCAGGTCTGGCATGTGCCTGAGAACCTGATTCCGGGTCCTGCCAGTGCCCTCCCTCACCCTCAGGAACTACGGGCAACTGGAGGAAATCTGGCGGTGTAGGAATTCTGCCTCTTCTATTCCCACTGGAGGACAGAAAGCTCTTGCTCCAGTAACTCTGGTTCAGAACATGGTGGGCAAAAACCGATTATAAAAAGAGGGAGGGGAAATTAAATTGGCCTGCGCTTATTTATTTTTAATTGCAAACATTCAGGTTGAAATCATATAGACCTTTCGGTAAGCTCAGTTGACTGTTGCCGGGATGCACTTCCAAGTACGCTTCCATCCGATGGCTCCGTAAATCTCTCTTAAACAACAACTTGGTTAATATTATCCAGTCTAAGCCGGAGCTGGATAGCCCAGCAGTGAATCTCCGAATTAATTCCCTCTGCTAGGCTTTTCTAGCAGAACCAATCCAATCATTTCTCAGATAAGAATATTTACACTAGGATGGCCAGATCCAGCCCACCGGGCTGCAAGAAGTGACCTGCTAGCTCCTGCAGCTTTATCTCCCCAAAGGATCACAAGAACGTAAGAATAGCCTACTGGATCAGGCCAAAGGGAGTCCATCTAGTCCGGCATCCTGTCAGATGCCTATGGGCAGAACATGAGCACAAGGGCCCTCTCCACTCCTGAGGTTTCCAGCAACTAACATTCAGAAACATTGGTGCATGTAGATAAGTGTATTCACACATACACCCACACACCAATATATGCAACCAAACACACCACCGACAGCGATCCAACCAGATCTAGGCTAGATCTACGCAGTAAAAAAAAAACCCACTTTGAAAACACTCTTTGGGGTAAATCGTTGTAAAGCTCACAATGGAAAATATCATTGTGTTGCGATTTCAGTTCTACACTGGTGTCACAGTGTTATAACGCATTTATAATGTTGTAGTTTGACTAATGTAGCTGAGTCCCTAGGGGCCATTTAAACTTTAAATCCCCTTACGCAACAGCTCCCCCTGTAGGGATTAGGCGAAGAACTGCAGGCATCGCCTCCACTGAGAAGCAACGGAGAACGACAGAGACTTGGCAAACCAGCTGGAGTCAGATAAGGCTGCAATTAGCAGAAGTTATTAATCTCGGCCAATTTTATGAATGGAAATTCAGGAGAAACATGAATGAACACTACAAATTGTACGGAAATGGTTTAATTGCAAATAAAAGTCAAAGCAAAGATCACACACGTTAACCAAAGAGGTTCCAGGTTGCAGGGCCTGACCCAACCACAAACTGCCACAATCTCCAAGGCACAGGATCACGTATACCAGCCTTTCTTAACCTGTGGATCCCCAGATGTTGTTGAACTACAACTCCCCTCACTCCTGGCTAGCAAGGCCAGAGCTCAGGGATGATGGGAGTTGTAGTCCAACAACATCTGGGGACCCACAGGTTGAGAACCGCTGACGTAGACAGAATCCAGTCTTGGAGAATTGCAAATAGGTAATGGGGGGAAAGGACAGCGATCAATACACAAATATAGAAGTGGTTAACGCAAATAAGGCGAAGGGAATATGGCAATGGCTGTGACTGCTCAGTAATCCTGTTTAAGGGATCCAGGGAACTCAAAAATCCAGCACAGATCAGACTATTTGCCAGGGGATTTTTGCTATCACTCCAGCCTCCCTTTACAAGTGGCAATGCTAGTTCTTTGTGGAACTCAGCCAGGAAAGCAAAGCTTGATCTGGCTAGTGCTTAAAGGCACAGGTCTGTGCTTTACAGTGCTGTGCTTAATCACTTTTTTCGTGCTTTCCCCAGGAAAACCCACTCTTTACTGCTGAATGTCAACTCACAGAAACCCCGAATTGTTGTTTGTTCCAATTCAGTATTAAAGAGCGAGTTTTGTGGGGAAAGTGCTGAGGCAATAAATAAATAAATAAATTGCTCAGCTGCCTGTACCTAAAAAGCACAAGGCAAAAGGTGAGTGTGGATGAGCCCTTACTGTATTCCCCCCATCCACCCTTCTATTACTTTGAAGAGCACCATGTACATTGATGGTGCTTAACAGCAGTATACTTGACTTTATATCTGCATGCGGTACTCCTGCTTTTGCAGGCGAGATATTTGAGTAAACGCAACAGTAAGTGCACCACCTGAGGGCTCATCCACACTAACCTTTCCTCTGCTCTTTCCAGGCACAGCCCACAATTTAGAGCTCTGTGTCCAAGTGCCCTTTTTTTCACACCAAAGCTTTCCCCACAGAAATCCGCTCTTTAAAGCACAATCGGAGCAAACGGCAATCCATGGGAAACCTGAATTGACTTTTGCTCCGATTCAGCTTTAAAGAGCAGGTTTTTGTGGGGAAAGCTCCCAGGAAGGGCACACACATGCTCCTGGAAGGCATCGGACAAGAGATAAGTGTGAATAAGACATTATTTGCTTAATGAAGCTTCTCTCTGCTGAATTTCTAGAAGCTGAACACACACAAACCCCTGTGTTGCAAAATGTAACAATCTACAAAAATGCAAACGAAACATGCTGGCTAATAACTGTTAGTGAATATATAATTGGTTATGATGACATTCTAAATATACGAATAAGCCACTTCAAATTTTTGTATCCCTCACGAGATCACATTTATGCATAAGTGATCCTCTATATTTTATTCTCTCTCTCTCTTTTTAAATTTTTTATTTGATTTTACAAATTCATTCACACTCATAATTACAAATAATAAACATTACATAAGATTCTTCCGAATATCAAGACTTTCCTCCTCCCCTCCGTGGGTTATTTAAGTAACTTTTTTTAACTGGATATTATAAGTCCATCTAATTTACAATCCTCCATTGTATCCAAAATCTGTGTAACATTACAAGAGTCATTTAAAAGCTGCCAAAGAGTTCAGGTGTTTACCATGGTATTTCAAATATAATATAAATTTGTCCCATTCTTTGTTGACATTTTGATCCTCCTGGTTTCTGATTTCCCCAGTTAATCTTGCCATCTCTGCATAGTCCACATTTTATTCTCGCTGCAACTCTGTGGTTTAAGAAGAGGGACAGCAGATTGCTCTAGGACACCCAGTAAGCTTGGTGACTGAAGAAGGATTTGAACCCAGGTCCCCGCAGTTCCAGTGGTGCTGTGGGTTAAACCACAGAGCCTAGGACTTGCCGATTAGAAGGTCGGCGGTTCGAATCCCCGCGACGGGGTGAGCTCCTATTGCTCAGTCCCAGCTCCTGCCAACCTAGCAGTTTGAAAGCACTGCAAGTAGATAAATAGGTATCACTCCGGCGGGAAGGTAAACGGCGTTTCTGTGCACTGCTCTGGTTCACCAGAAGCATCTTAGTCATGCTGGCCACATGACCCGGAAGGTGTACGCCGGCTCCCTCGGCCAATAAAGCAAGATGAGTGCCGCAACCCCAGAGTCGGTCATGACTGGACCTAATGGTCAGGGGTCCCTTTACCTTTACCCCGCAGTTCCAGTCCAACCCTACACTGCACATGCTCTATTCTAATCCAAATTTAACAAATAATAATAGTAATAATTCTAAGTAAACTATCTTCAAGCACTCTGCGGGGTTATGGCAATCCTCCTCTTCAGCTGGGCATGGTGAACAAAGAGTTAAAGGTTCCTTCCCAGTTTCCCTCTAGCTCCATGCTCAGGTGCTTGAATGTATCCATGGCGCAGCCCTGAGACTTCTCAATGCACCTTCCTGGGGCTCAATGACTCGTTCCAAAGGAAACTAAAGAACAACTGCTGGCACTTCTGTGTGATGTCATATAGAACATAGTTCTATATGATGTCAAGTGGCGAGAGAGCAGGAAGCAGCAATCGCAAAGAGGATGAGAAGGCTGCTTCTCGCTCTCCTGGCCCTCCTCACAACCTGCCCTATGCGTGCCGCAGATGACAGCTGCAGGTGAGTGACCACAGCAAGAGCAGCCTCTGTTCCCCTGGATGATACCACTAGCTCATTGCAAAGACGTCTTTCCCAGAAAGCTGAATTATGCAGACGGCATCAGTTCCACAGCCTGCAGGGCGCATCGCTTTGCCAGGCTGGGGACAGGCTTGGGTGCTACTAGTTACCTAGGGTTGCTGTCTTTCAAAAAGTAAAAACCAGGACACCCCACAAGTTGTTGAGCTTGTCAAGTTGTGGTTGAACATATCAGACGACACAGCGATTCTTCAAACAGCTCTTGTTTATTCACAGGCCAGGTCAGAACTGAACTGTTCAGTCAGCCTGCTTATATAGAGCTCCACTACAATGTAACTGTAACAATTTTCTAAAACTATCCAATCACTGAACATCACTTTCGATCCCTTATTTGCATAACTATCTACAGTATCCCCCTGCTGGCCCAGGGTGAGAACTTCAGTACATAACAGAGCTTTCTTTTTAGGATGCCACCAAAATTGTTGATCCTACAAATCACCCCTCTGAGGGGCAGCATAAGTAATGCGGAGAGGTGGACCTCTTCTGGTAGAATAGGATAGCCCACTTCCCCTGAATTTAGAAGAGTTGGGTTCAGCTCCTGAAAGAATTGGAAATAATAATAATAATTTTCTGAACTTCCCGGTTCAGAAAACCGAGCTCAGGGCAGCTAACAACAAATTTAAAACACTTAATTGATGCAACAAAAAACAGCATAAAATACAGTGTAAAATGTGAATAACAAAAAAATCAAAAATCAATTTAGGGAGGAAATCCATCCAATAAACATTAGATGATCACCAGGGCTAGTTGGCTAAATTAGTCCTACTTGGGCCAGCGAGGAGACCAGGGGAGAATTAGCTGTGGGATCCCAGAGCAGGGAATCTTCATAAAAAGGGGAGGGGGAGGGAAGGAAGGGGAATAAAAGATCAGGCTAAATTCAAATTGAAAGCCAGGTGGAATAGCTCTGTCTTACAGGCCTTGCAGAAGGAAGTGAAATCCTGCAGGGCAGTGGTGGTATGGGACGCAGGTTCTATATCTGCTGAAGTGTATAGATAAACCCCATTTCAGCTGCAAGATGCCCTGTTTTCAGGTGTTCTAACCACAAGCTCTGTTAAAGATAAGCTTCTAAGCGAGTCAGCGCTTACTTAGTTGAAATATGCACGGAGTCCTGTAGTGATTTCATGCTCTTTATTGCAGCTTGTAAAACAGTGATTGAATTACCCCCCAAACCTCAGGCTTTTATCTACATTATTTACACAATGAGTCCCTTCTGATTGGCTGATTCTGCTTCCCTCCTGGAGCTTGATTGGTCTTTTCCTGCAGGCCAATCAGTTGTTGCATTCTAGGATCCTACCAGCCTAAGAGGCTAGTTAACTTCCTCCTGGAGCCTGATTGGTTTTCTCCTGCAAGCCAATCAGTTGTTGCATTCTAGGATCCTACTTGCCTATTGTTGTAGGATCCAAGCTTAGTACATAACATTATAAAATAATAATAATAATAATAATAATAATAATAATAATAATAATAATAAATAATTTGTTTATACCCCGCCCATCTGGCTGAGTTTCCCCAGCCACTCTAGGCGGCTCCCAATCGAGTGTTAAAAACAATACAGCATTAAATATTAAAAACTTCCCTGAACAGGGCTGCCTTCAGGTGTCTTTTAAAGATAGTATAGCTGCTTATTTCCTTCACATCTGAAGGGAGGGTGTTCCACAGGGTGGGCGCCACTACCGAGAAGGCCCTCTGTCTGGTTCCCTGTAACCTCACTTCTCGCAATGAGGGAACCGCCAGAAGACCCTCGGAGCTGGACCTCAGTGTCCGGGCTAAACGATGGGGGTGGAGACGCTCCTTCAGGTATACATTAGCTGTTGTAACCTTCTGGTCTTTGGTGGAGGAAAAGCGCAACATTTTCATTTCTGACAGTGATGTAAATCGTCTTGGAGAAGCTATTGAAGGGCAGGATATATAAGCTAACCGAGGAATAAATCCTGCCGGTACCCTTGATGCTCTTTCCGCTGTTCTCCTTTCCAGTGGAATTTGTGGGAGGCGCCCCTTGGCATCCAGCCACAGCAGCTCCCTTCAGATGGGGGGAGGCGTCAACACCTTGCCAGGAACCTGGCCTTGGATGGTCAGCATCCGGACGCCTTTCCGGTCAGGTTATCAGCACACCTGCGGAGGGTCCCTCATCAGCGCCAAGTGGATTCTGACTGCAGCCCACTGCTTTAGAGATAAGAGGTGAGCCAAAGGATCTGGGGCGAGAAACAGACTTGTAGGGTGGCTTTAAAAGAGGACTGGACAAAACCACAGAGGTCAAGCTGTCAGTGCCTATAAGCCACAGTTGCTATGCTCTGCCCCTCCTGCTTCTGAATACCAGCTGCTGAGAATCGCAAGTGGAGACATTTGCTGTCTGTGGGAATGTTGAGGAAAGTAGGAGAGGATATATTGATTGCATACTATCCCTCCTCACTCCCACTAGTAAGCAAGCAGCAGAGCACATTCCCCTTGCACATTGCTGGCACTAAGTTGATGGATTCGTTAGAATCACTTATGTTGAGCAATCCAGACTGGCTTGTCCAGTCAATTGTTCTTGCTAAGTTTCCCCTTTTATTTCCCTCTTAAAAATATAGTCCTACCTTGGGTTAAATATGCTTCAGGTTGAGCGTTTTCAGGTTACGCTCCGTGGCAACCCAGAAGTAACGGAACTCATTACTTCCGGGTTTCACCACTCATGCATGCGCAAATGCTCAAAATGATGTCACACACATGCGCAGAAGCGGCGAATCATGACCCGTGCATGCGCAGTCGCCGGTTGCGTTCTACTCAGGAAGTGAACGGGGCTCCAGAACGGATCCTATTCGCATCCAGAGGCACCACTGTAATAACACGACAAGTCACGTAGTGATTTCATGCTCTTTATTGCAGCTCGTAATGAATGAATTTCCCTCAAAACCTTGGGATTTATATACATTATTTACACAATGGGTCCTGTGTGATTGGCTGACTCTGCTTCCCTCCTAGAGCCTGATTGGGCTGCTCCTGCAAGCCAACCGGTTGTTGCGTTCTAGGATCCTACCTGCCTATTGTTCTAGGATCCAAGCTCAGTACATAACAAAGAGTAAAGCTTACTTACATTCAGTTCACAGTATTGTCCTGAAGGCAGGCTTTATCTTGTAGTTACAGGAACATGTGTAGAGAAAAGAAGTTTGAGCTAGGCCTCAGACTTTCTACCTTGTGGCTTCCATCCTCTGAAAGGGTGAGCCATGTGCTGCTGGCTAAGAGTCAGAAGAGAGGAAGATGGCAAAAGAGCAAAAGAGCAAAAGAGCAAAAGGGGGAAGATGGCTGCATGGCTAGCCCTTTTGTAGGGTCTGCTAGGACCATGCCCATCTACCTGGTCACACAAAGGGGGAGGAGGCTCCATGGCAGGTATGACAGGAAGTCCTCCCTCTCTGGAGCCACATTCCCCTGTGTGTCCACTGTTGTTGTTTAGTCATTTAGTTGTGTCTGACTCTTCGTGACCCCATGGACCAGAGTACGCCAGGCACTCCTGTCCTCCACTGCCTCCCGCAGTTTGGTCAAACTCATGCTGGTAGCTTCGAGAACACTGTCCCACCATCTCATCCTCTGCCGTCCCCTTCTCCTTGTGCCCTCCATCTTTCCCAACATCAGAGTCTTTTCCAGGGAGTCTTCTCTTCTCATGAGGTGGCCAAAGCCTTGGAGCCTCAGCTTCACAATCTGTCCTTCCAGTGAGCACTCAGAGCTGATTTCCTTCAGAATGGAGAGGTTTGATCTTCTTGCAGTCCATGGGACTCTCAAGAGTCTCCTCCAGTGCCATAATTCAAAAACATCAATTCTTCGGTGACCAGCCTTCTTTATGGTCCAGCTCTCACTTCCGTGTCCACTCTAGGCAACAGGAAATGCTGTGTTTGACTGCTTCAGTGATGACACATCCCACACTGTCACACTCAAGTCCTGCTTGCTGACTTCTCACTGGGACATCTCATTGGCCACTGTGAGGACAGGATGTTGGACTAGATGGGCCTCTTTTGCTCTGTTTACAAGACAAATGCACAGTTGTAAGGTTCTGCACTTAGGCAGGAAGGAACAGCTGCACAAATATGAGATGGGAGACACTGGGCTTACTAGCAGTGCATGTGAAAAGGATCTCGGGGTCTTAGTAGACCACAAGCTGAACATGAGTCCACAGTGTGATGCAGCAGCAAAAAAGGCTAACACTTTTCTAGATTGCATCAACAGAAGTCTAGAATCATAGAATCATAGAATCATAGAGTTGGAAGAGACCACAAGGGCCATCGAGTCCAACCCCCTGCCAAGCAGGAAACACCATCAGAGCACTCCTGACATATGGTTGTCAAGCCTCTGCTTAAAGACCTCCAAAGAAGGAGACTCCACCACACTCCTTGGCAGCAAATTCCACTGTCGAACAGCTCTCACTGTCAGGAAGTTCTTCCTAATGTTTAGGTGGAATCTTCTTTCTTGTAGTTTGGATCCATTGCTCCGTGTCCGCTTCTCTGGAGCAGCAGAAAACAACCTTTCTCCCTCCTCTATGTGACATCCTTTTATATATTTGAACATGGCTATCATATCACCCCTTAACCTCCTCTTCTCCAGGCTAAACATGCCCAGCTCCCTTAGCCATTCCTCATAAGGCATCGTTTCCAGGCCTTTGACCATTTTGGTTGCCCTCCTCTGGACACGTTCCAGTTTGTCAGTGTCCTTCTTGAACTGTGGTGCCCAGAACTGGACACAGTACTCCAGGTGAGGTCTGACCAGAGCAGAATAGGTAAAGGTAAAGGTACCCCTGCCCGTACAGGCCAGTCTTGACAGACTCTGGGGTTGTGCGCCCATCTCACTCAAGAGGCCGGGGGCCAGCGCTGTCCGGAGACACTTCCGGGTCATGTGGCCAGCGTGACAAAGCTGCATCTGGCGAGCCAGCACAGCACATGGAACGCCGTTTACCTTCCCGCTGGTAAGCGGTCCCTATTTATCTACTTGCACCCGGGGGTGCTTTCGAACTGCTAGGTTGGCAGGCGCTGGGACCGAGTGACGGGAGCGCACCCCGCCGCGGGGATTCGAACCACCGACCTTTCGATCGGCAAGCCCTAGGCGCTGAGGCTTTTACCCACAGCGCCACCCGCGTGAATACAGTGGCACTATTACTCCCCTTGATCTAGATGCTATACTCCTATTGATGCAGCCCAGAATTGCATTGACTTTTTTAGCTGCCGCGTCACACTGTTGGCTCATGTCAAGTTTGTGGTCAACCAAGACTCCTAGATCCTTTTCACATGTACTGCTCTCAAGCCAGGTGTCCCCCATCTTGTATTTGTGCCTCTCATTTTTTTTGCCCAAGTGCAATACTTTACATTTCTCCCTGTTAAAGTTCATCTTGTTTCTTTTGGCCCATACTGCAGGGCTTTTCTGACCTCATGAAGAGGACAGTGAGTGTTGAGAGCAGAGGGAGGGAGATAGGCGGAGATTTCACACAGGCGCCAAGGAAAAGCATGAAGGGGGTCATTGCACCCATGGGTGCCACTCTGGCAACCCCAGTGCTAGCTTACGCTCCCCTTCTTGGGGAAGGGGCAGAACTCAGTGGTAGAGCATGGGCACTGCCATCAAATGGTCCCAGGTTCAACTCTGGTCAGCTGTGGTCAGAGCTGCTGTCCATCACAGCAGACAATACTGGGGTAAATGGGCAAAGTGTTGCATAAGACGCTTCCTGTTTTCTTTCTCTGCTCTAGATATCTAGAAAATTGGGAGCTGCTGTTGGGTTCCACTGTGCTCTCCCGGCCTGGTCCTGATGCGGAGGTCCGCTTCCTCAAGAGGGTGGTGGAGCACGAGAGCTACATACCACAGCAGCAAGTCAACGACATCGCCTTGATAGAGCTGGATGACCCGATCCAGTGCAGTGACTACATCCAGCCTGCCTGCCTGCCAGAGAGCTTTGTGGACGTGTCTGCCATGGCCCATTGCTACATCGCTGGCTGGGGTTACACACAGGAGAAATGTGAGAGAGATGCAGCAATGCCCTGATGCTCCTTTAGGCCTGGGAAAGGATGGGAAGCAGTGAAACAACCATGCGATTAATCAGAAGGAAGCCCAGTCTCTGCTGGCAGTCTCTCTCCTCACCCCCAAAAAACCCAGCCTCCAAAGCCCTAAAAGCATCAATGCTGCAAAATCTGAAGTTTGCAGCCGAAAAGCTGTACCGTGAGCCAAGGGCATATGATCTCCATACACCTTGGGGCTGCAGCTGGTGGGCTGAGGTCATAACTGAGATGCCTTGAGCTAAGAACGGTTATGTATGCTTTTAAACAGGGGTCAGCAACCTTTTTCAGCCGTGGGCTGGTCCACCGTCCCTCAGACCATGTGGTGGGCCGGACTATATTTTGGGGAAAAAATATGAATGAATTCCTGTTCCCCGGAAATAAGTCAGAGATGCATTTTAAATAAAAGCACACATTGTACTCATGTAAAAGCACGCTGATTTCTGGACTGTCCACGGGCCGGATTGAGAAGGCGATTGGGCCAGATCCGGCCCCTGGGCCTTAGGTTGCCTACCCCTGTTTTAAAAGAAGAAGAAAAATGAAGAGAGGAAAGCGAGAAAGGGGTGGCAAAGCCAAGAGAGAAAGAGTGAAGGCGTCAAAGGAGAAAAATAGACACACCGTGTAATATTGGACTTCAAGCGGTAGTCTACAAACTCAGTTTGGCTCTACATCAGTGTAACTGTTGTTGCTTTCCCCAGTGAATCCTGGGAATTGTAGTTCATGAGGATGCTGGGATGCATGTGTTAGAGATCTCTTGACACTCATCCCAGGGTCCCTTGGTGAAATAACTATGAAACCAGTTCAAGTCTGTGGGTTATTGTCCCAATTCAAGTCACGTCCTTTGATATGCAAAGTTGGAACAGGACAAATGGTTTCCAAAAGGACAGAACCATGCACAAAAGTGGGGGCTAGGGATGAAGAGGAAGCAGGAAAGGCTGCACAGATTTATATGGGCTGCAAAGAGTGTACTCAAGTATACTGCACAGTTTAGGCCACTGGTGTCCAAACTTTTTTCAAAGAGGGCCAGATTTGATGAAGTGGCCAAAGGGCTAACTAAACTTATTGACCTTTTTTTAGGGTTTGAGTTGTTGAGGTTTTTTTACCACAGGAAATAAACTGCCAGGATTGAACCGGATTAGGCCCCCAAAACAGACTTTGGACATGCCGGGCTTAGGCAAACCTGATGACCTATGAATGTTGTTCAACACCATCTTCCATCAACCCCACCCAGCATCACCCATGGTAGAGGATTATGGGAGTTGGAGTCCAACAACATCTGGTTTGGCACCAGAGTGGCAAGCCCTGGTACAGCCCTTCAAATAATAAGCCCTCAGGAAATGTAGTTAAAATCACTGAATGGAAAATGAAATCATTCAATGTGTCACTCTGAAGGTATGGCTAAGACACAAACCTCTCATAAACTGTAGCAGTGTTAGAAACAGAGATATGAAAGCTAGAAACTGAGATATGGAAGCTAGGAGCTAAATGACACCTTAAGACTAGGTCATGGGCACGCTTTTTAATAACAAGAATACAAAGCTGAAAGTGAATGAACTGCAGCTAAAATATTATGTTTGTTTTTCACATGGTCTACTCTAGTCCTTCCGCTGCCCACCCCCCTAATATTCTTAAGGGGGTCTCTTCTCCTGTCTTCAGAGAGTAGCTGGAAGTGGGGAGGTCCTCCTCTCCTTCCACTCTGCAGTTTTAATCTGAAATTTTAGGCGCAGTACTGTGCCCAGAGCTCAGAAATCGCTTGCCCTAATGAAATCCCATTGCAAAATGTGCCTAGAACAATGGGAATTTTTTAAAAAATAAATTTTATTAGTATTTTCCACACAACAACATGAAAAATATTGGAAAATGATAATACACAACACACAAAAACCAACATTCGAAAACTAAAGAAAGGAACAAAAAAACACAAAAAACACAAATCCATATCTTACAAGTTAATACTATAAACACTAAAACAACAACAAGATATTTACTTCCACCAATCCCACAGCACCTCCTTTATCTCTCAGTGTCTTCCTGTTTTCCTGATCATCTCTATCCTAGCATCTAGATATAAATCCCTCTTTCTTATCCTTTCAATTCACAAGGTTATTCCAGACTCAGCCAGATTTCAGTCCTCGAAGCTTGACTTTGGAGGTATTCATTTAGGCACTCCCAGAACAATGGGAATTTTGAACACTGAACTGTAGTCTGTTTTTAGAAATACAGTGGCCCAACTGTCGCCTTTGTGCAAGTCGATCTGCACCTATTTCAGAAGTTCTGCCTCTGCACACATTCTGATATTGACTTCTTTTATTGACCCAGTCAAGCACATGGAGTGAGATTCGCCAGGGAATGGGAACCCCCAGCCCTAGTCCCTGGCAAGGAGCTATTGGGTCAAACAGCCTTCTTAGCATAACTCACCACATAGGGAGGCGGAGGATGGCTGGTTCCAAGGGTTTTTCCAGGGAACAGAAAATGAGTAGACAACAGAGAAAAAGGCTGGAGCGTTCACTGGACGGGTCCTGTGCATGTAGAAATTTCGTAACTGTTTTCTCCTTACAGCAAATGCTCCATCCGACATCCTGAAGGAGGCCAAAGTGGAACTTATTTCCCAAGAAAGGTGCAATAGCACTTCCTGGTACTATGGAAGCATCAGAGTCAACAACCTGTGTGCAGGGTTCGAGGCAGGAGGCATTGACACTTGCCAGGTACGTGAATTTGGGCTGCTGCCACTCACCTGCATCTTCCAACTTTCCTGCGTCTTCAGCCAGATACTTCTTCAATTCTCTCATCACCGGCTAGTGCTGAGGAAAAGTTACAAAGCAGGGCTGAGGTGTGCCCCAGCAAGCATCAAGGCCAAGCGTTTAAAAGGGGAGTAGAATCGTTGGAAGGGACCCCAGGGGGACATCTAGCTCACCCCGCTTCCCGCAATGCAGGAATCTCAGCTAAAGCATCCTGGACAGAGGGCCATCCAATCTCTGCTGTAAAACCTCCAAGGAAGGAGAGGCCACCACTGGCAAGGGGATAAAATGAGGGCATCTGCCACCATTGTGTTCTGTGCCATTCAGAAAATGTACATGGTCCCAGTCTCATGAAACCTAGCACCTTCTGCGTGCAAGTCAAAGCGATTTGCAAACGTCCCAGAGAAACAGCACCTTACAAAAGATGGCACCTCACCAAAGCTCGAGTTTTTTTGGGAGGTTTTTTGGATGAAAAAATTCTTTATTGAAATTCATTAATGTCATTACAGATTTGACTTCACACATATACTCTCTCTCTCTCTCTCTCTCTCTCTCTCTCTCTCTCTCTATATATATATATATATATATATATATGCTTTCGTAGATTTTCACGGGTACAGGAATGCAGGTTTTGGTGTCCTCGGGTGTCTTCCCGTGTAAAAGTTGGGGTGTCTAGGCGACGTTTCGACGAGGTCTCACTCGTCATCTTCAGGCTGGTGCTTTCGGCCGATGACGAGTGAGACCTCGTCGAAACGTCGCCTAGACACCCCAACTTTTACACGGGAAGACACCCGAGGACACCAAAACCTGCATATATATATATATATATATATATATAAATTAGTTTAACTTAGAATGTTAATTTAACCTTCTAATTCCACTTAGATATCAGCTGAGCTAAAATCATATAATGGTACATGAAGTAAAGTAAAACAACAACAAGAAACTAAAGTAAAATAAATATAGATCTCCCATCATTTGCCAATATAGCTGACATTTGTGATTTTGACTGTACTTATAATTATTGTCGTTGTTGTTGTTTAGTCGTTCAGTCGTGTCCGACTCTTCATGACCCCCTGGACCAGAGCACGCCAGGCACTCCTGTCTTCCACTGCCTCCCGCAGTTTGGTCAAACTCATGCTGGTAACCTCGAAAACACTATCCAACCATCTCGTCCTCTGTCGTCCCCGTCTCCTTGTGCCCTCCATCTTTCCCAACATCAGGGTCTTTCCCAGGGAGTCTTCTCTTCTCATGAGGTGGCCAAAGTATTGGAGCCTCAGCTTCAGGATCTGTCCTTCCAGTGAGCACTCAGGGCTGATTTCCTTCAGAATGGAGAGGTTTGATCTTCTCGCAGTCCATGGGACACTCAAGAGTCTCCTCCAGCACCATAATTCAAAAGCATCCATTCTTCGGTGATCAGCCTTCTTTATGGTCCAGCTCTCACTTCCTTACATCACTACTGGGAAAACCATGGCTTTAACTATATGGACCTTTGTCGGCAAGGTGATGTCTCTGCTTTTGAAGATGCTGTCTAGGTTAGCCATCGCCTTTCTCCCAAGGAGCAGGCGTCTTTTAATTTCATGACTGCTGTCACCATCTGCAGTGATCATGGAGCCCAAGAAAGTAAAATCTCTCACTGCCTCCATTTCTTCCCCTTCTATTTGCCAGGAGGTGATGGGACCAGTGGCCATGATCTTCATTTTTTTGATGTTGAGCTTCAGACCATATTTTGCGCTCTCCTCTTTCACCCTCATTAAAAGGTTCTTTAATTCCTCCTCACTTTCTGCCATCAAGGTTGTGTCATCTGCATATCTGAGGTTGTTGATATTTCTTCCGGTGATCTTAATTCCGGCTTGGGATTCATCCAGCCCAGCCTTTTGCATGATGAATTCTGCATATAAGTTAAATAAGCAGGGAGACAATATACAGCCTTGCCGTACTCCTTTCCCAAGTTTGAACCAATCAGTTGTTCCATATCCAGTTCTAACTGTAGCTTCTTGTCCCACATAGAGATTTCTCAGGAGACAGATGAGGTGATCAGGCACTCCCATTTCTTTAAGAACTTGCCATAGTTTGCTGTGGTCAACACAGTCAAAGGCTTTTGCATAGTCAATGAAGCAGAAGTAGATGTCTTTCTGGAACTCTCTAGCTTTCTCCATAATCCAGCGCATGTTTGCAATTTGGTCTCTGGTTCCTCTGCCTCTTCTAAATCCAGCTTGCACTTCTGGGTGTTCTCGATCCACATACTGCTTAAACCTTCCTTGTAGAATTTTAAGCATAACCTTGCTAGCGTGTGAAATGAGTGCAATTTGTTGGTTTCTGCTTTCCTTCACTGTGCAGCGAAAGGGCTTGTCACGAGACAGGTGTTTACATTCCACAGTCTGTACTGTTGGAGTTTCTCACGGGAAAGGGAGACTGGATGTGACGTACACTGGTTTCCTGTTTTTCACTGTTCTTTGCAGTTTCACTATGTGATTCTCTCCGAGCTGTCGAGGAGAGAGGATGCATTTTCTGCTCCGGCAGAGGCAAGATGTCTTTCTGTAATATACCAGCTTTGAACTATAAATAAAGCAATATAGAGTATGCAGCACGTACTCCTCATCCTTCTGCTGGGCACGGGACTCTGCTTTAAACCAACACGTGGTTATAGGCTCCAGAAGTCGAATCGGAGTGCAGGCAAAGGATCGGAATGCAGAGGGACAGATCGGATCGGAATCTGCTCTGCGCGTAAAGGTGATTGATGAGGTATGTGCTACTGCTCCGGGCAGCCTGCCAGCTTCTAGTTAATGGCTTTATGGCTGGACTTTGAACTTTTAAAGCCGTTTTGCCGGGAATAGGCAAAAGGCTCCCAGGCACAAGTTACTATGCTGGGGAAATCGAAAGTAACTTTTAAGTGCGCTTTTGGAATAAAGCAGCTGCAGCAGTGACGCAGCAAGATTTAAAGCAGCATATATGACGCTGAAGGCTAATGCCAGAGTCATGATGGCCCTTCAGGATGCTTGTGGGATTCCTAAGCTCAACAAGAAAAATTATGCGGACTGGGTTCTGTATGCAGAGGCAATTCTGCGGAAAGAGGGTTTGTTTGAGGTGATTACAGAAACCCCCCCAGCTCCAGTTACAGGTGCATGGGAAGCTAAGGATTCCAAAGCAAGGGGAACTCTTACATTGATAGTATCCCCGGAAGAGCTCTGTCTATTGCGTGATAAGACCTCAGCCAGAGAAATTTGGGACACTTTGAGAGAGGCTCACTTAAGGACAGAAGCTGGATCCACTATGTTTTACTTTAACAAGCTGCATAATATGGCTCTTGCTGAAGGTGGAGATGTGTGTTTACATCTGATGGAGATGCAAAATCTGAGACATGAGCTGCAACAGAGAGGACTCAACTTTCCAGAGGCTGTGTATTCTTTCATGATACTACAATCTTTGGGTTCAGGTTGGGAGTCTGTGGCAACCCAGATTGCTGTGCAGCCAACTGCTCAGCTGACAGTGGACTATGTTACTGCCGTGATTTTAAATGAAGCAGATCGCCGGGGTGCTAGCTGCATGGGCAAGGGGGAGTCTTCACAGACGTCGTCCCATAGTGCAGTGGAACCACCAGATGGCGCCAAAGCTTTGAAGGCAGTGAAATGCTACTCGTGTGGACGTCTAGGCCATATGAAGAGGGAATGCAGATATCCCAGGGCCAAGACAGAGCAGCGCAGCGAAAGCTCATCGCGCGGAAAAGGCCGAGGCAAAGGCAAAGGTCCGGTGTCTAGGACAACGCAGCACAAGGCTATGGTTTCACGCTTCACTCCAAAGGTTGCAGAGGTCCAGAAGACGTCTAGATCTTTCTTCGTTGTTGATTCAGCGGCGACCCACCACATGTGCAACGATAAGAGACTGTTTGTGTCTTTTACACCGCAGGAAGGTGCGATTCACCAGGCGGATGACCACACTATTCCCAGTAAAGGCTACAGAACTGTTGTTCTTCACAGTTTGGACTTATCGATACAGAATGTGCTTTACGTGCCAGACGCCAAACATAATCTGCTCAGCGTTGGACAGCTGAATGAGCGGAACATTGACGTTTCCTTCAAGAACAAGAAGTGCATCATCACAAAGAAAAATGATTATGTATTGCATGCTGAATATGTTGATCGTTTGTTTGTTTTGTATTATGATGATGTTGTGCAGGATGACACTTGTTGCATTGCAGGTTCTAACAAAAGTTTGCATGCAGAATGTATTCACGATTTTCATAGAAAATTTGGTCATTTGCATTTTGAGGCAGTATCTAAAATGCCTGCCTTGGTTGAAGGTATGACTATTAAACCCTGCAGGTACCACATGAAGTGCAAAGCATGCGCAGCAAACAAGGTGAAAATGGCTGCGAAAGGTAAGGTGTCTAGTAGGCAAGCTACGGAACCATACCAGGTTGTTCATGCTGATTTGGTTGGACCACTAGCGCCCTCTTTGGGTGGAAATAGGTACTTCATGGTTCTCGTTGATGCATTTTCCAGATATATTTTTGTGTACAATCTCAAGCAGAAATCAGAGGCTTTTCCTAGGTTCAAGGAATTCTGTGCTTGGTTGGAAAATGTGCATGGTAAGAAGATAAAGACTCTTTTCAGTGATCGCGGGGGAGAATTCACTTCTCAGCAGTTTGAAGCTTTTCTGACTGAGAAAGGAATTCAACACGATTTGTCTAGTCCTCGCTCGCCATGGCAGAATGGACTTGCGGAACGGGCAAATCAGACATTGCTTCAAGGGTTAAAAACCTTGCTGCATGATGCCAATCTTCCAGAGAGTTATTGGGCCGAATCTCTCTCGTGTTTTGTTTACAGTTACAATCGCAGGTTATCTTCAGCGATTGGTTGTACCCCCTATGAGAAGATGTTTGGCAAGAAGCCATACATCAAACACATGAAAATTTTTGGTTCTGACATGTGGGTTCACTCACCACAAAATTCCAAGTTAGACAAGCG